TGTGGTCAATACAAGACAGCTCAACTGCAAAGTTGTCAAAGTTTGATGCATTTCCATCAATGTTAAGAAATAATTTTGACTAATATTTAACTGAATGTTTAGGTAGGATGGTGGCATTCAACTCTTTTATGGAGAATGTTTTGCAATTTTCAAGAACCTTTGAGCTATTGTAGATAGATTCAATATAATTGCAATATAATTTCATACTGGTGATAGATACAAATTTCATACTGGTGATAGATACAAAATTTACAAACAGTGATTCTATGTTATGTGCTCATTACAGAGAGATTAGCCAGTAATCTTACTATATATAAAGCAAGACGATATATATCCGTGCCATTTTACTGACACCAAGGCATCAACTTTAACGCGACTTTCCGCAAAAACCGTAAAAGATATACAACTGAAACTTTTTTGGCTGGGTCAAATGCTTTAATGGCCTCCAAATCAGCATGAAAAAATAAAAAATTGGCCAAGAAATAAAAATTTTAGTGCCAAAAATGTGGACTCCCAAGTGGTGTCAAAAACGCGAATTAAATAGGTAATCATTTATTTAGTCTCTTGAGTCTTGACACCACTCAAGGGTTAAAAAGGGTTCCTGCTAGTCTTATTAAAGTTTAAAGAATTTTTCAGGTAAAGACAAACTCCTGACCCTTTAGCCTTGGCATGGTTTTTATCATGACAGAAATAACGGGATTGGGAACTAAACAGTATTTTTGCATCACCCCAGAAATAGCATTGCCATTACCTAAATTAGTATTCTTTTGTTACAATGTTCAATAATTAATGAAACAATAACTTAATAACATCTCAACTTATAGGTAACATGGGAAACCAAGCATCAGAGTTATCTGTAGCCGCAATTCCTGATTCCTACATTGCAATCTCAATATGTTCGCTATCAAAGATAAGGGTCATGAATGTGACTCCAGATGTGAGAGAAATGCTTGAAAGACTCGACCAAGAAATAACTGCCAAATGTGGATTCACTCGAGGTCCTCTTATTGAATACTACGGTACTCTAAAGATGCATGTTGGGGATATGCACACTTTCACGGCTGGGGGAGGAAAAGACAGAGCTACTCTTGGAAAGTTCTTTGCTCTATGTCTGTTGGAAGAAATGTACAATTTAGGCTACAACATGCACATAAGCAGTGATTTAGCACGACAATGTGACCAGGCTACTTGGTTCTTTTCAAAGAGTCCGGTACCCAACGAAAACAGAGCTCGATCTAGAGTTTGCTGTATTGCTCCTGGTGGAATGCGCGGCAACAAACTTGCCCTTCTGCATCATGATGAACATATAAAACAAGCAGTTATGCTAGCTCTTGGAGATGCATGGCCCAAGGGTGTATCGGGAACCGAGGATATTATGTCCTCTGGTGAGATGCTGCATGAGATTTCTTTAAATGGATACTGGGGTCATACTCACGAAGATGGGATAAACACCCGAAAAGCAATTTGCAGTTTGGTTGGAAGGATGGGTGGACTAAACTGGAGGCTTCTTGCTTCAACTAATTTAAAAGGGACTGCCGACTCCTTCTTCTTTATATACGATCCGACTTTTACTGCTCATCCAAATGATTTCTGTATGCTGACCTTGTCTAAAATGGACAGATTTAGGTTAATCAACTGCAACCACCTCCTAGAGCCCATGGAGACAGCTATTACTACTGCTGGTCTTTCTATCCAAGAAAAGCTGGATTATTACGGTAGCCATGAGATAAAGGTACATGGAAATCCTTGGCATTCCACAGATCATGAAGCCATTGTTGCACGAAGAAGTATTTCACGGATTATGGAAGTTTTTGGGCAAAATGGATATACTCCTCTTTACGCAATTGACATAAGCCGTAGATTGACTGATAAAGCCTCTATTCTCTTCCGGAAAAATCCATACCCAGTAAACTGCAGATATGCTTGTTTGTCATTGACCAGCTTAAATAGGCTTCGACTACTTGATTTTCCCATTGATGTTGGTGTCCAAATGAGGGATTGTATCTACCAGTTCTATCCGTTTGGTGTTCAAAAGGAGGTCAATTTACCAGACTCGAACCTAGAAATAAACGTTCAGGGGTGGCCCTGGACTGCTCATGGTATGTCCAAGGGTGCTGTTTTCTATCACATGAGAGCTGTTTTGGGCAAAATGATGGCGGTCGCGGCCCAGCATGGCTGGTATGTCTCTCTTTCAGCAGATGTTTCGTCAAAAATCGGTGGAAGTGACAATGATAAATATCCTTTAGATGTTCATAGCATCTATTTTGTAAAAATACAATGAGAAGTTTCACTGAATTTTAAACAAAAAAAAACTTTAAAACCAAATTAAAAAACAGAACATTATTCAATGCTGATATTTTCTGTTATTATTTACTTCTTAGGATTGAAATATTTTTAACTGTTTAGATTTTTATCATGTAGGTGACAGTTTCTTCAAGGATATGTTTGGAATTTAGAATATATTTAGATCCATATTTTTTCTTCTGGATAAGCCTGAATTAACGCATTGCACTCTTGACTAGATTGCGATAATTCAGCAAACCAGTATTTTATTTTAAATAACCATATTGGGTTATATTGCATGTAAACCCAGATTTGCTGGGATCTTTGAGAACAGGAAAGTTGGAAAATAAATGATTTTGCCCTAATTCAGTTGGAAACCTTCCCTAGAAAGGTTAACGGATGAGGCTTGATTTAAAAATAATATTTGACATTTCACAGTTATCATAAACGTTGCGTAGATCATAATAATATGATGCATCAAATTGTTGGTTCCTATAAATGACATCACCAGACTATTGGCAAATTATTATTGTCTTTGTTAAATAGCTGCACATCAGCTCAGAGTATTGAGGAATTGGGGGAAAACACAATACTTACACAATAAGTACACCAGAAACCAACAATTGTGAACTTTACACACTTAGAACAATGGACTTCCATAGACGGTACCCCCTGAAGATCAATTGCCTTTGTACCAGTTAACAGTTCTTGGTAATATCGTATCCGTTAATACTCAATAGCTTGTATTAAAACAATGAACCTGCTTTTAATGCTATTACCCATATTATGTGCTCACCTATTATACGTATCATTGCTGGTATATCAATTGGAAGATAGATAGATGGTTCTTAGTCCCTTAGTCGTGCATGATATATTGTATCAAATTATCGGTCCTTTTAGAGCTATTCCAATAACATGTATTGGTTAGATTAGTAGGTTCTAAAATCTAAACGGTCTGGTAGTCTAGTTGATAAGTTTAAAAACAATATTGCTGACTGCAATTTCTGTTTTTTTTAATTTTCGGGCAAGAATGAAATTGAGTGTGTATATTATATCGGCTAGTGCGCTGATTACGCCGTGTCTAAACGTTTGCGGCAGCTTGGTGTGAAAATCATCAATAGCAGTGTGCAACACTGTTTATATATGGAGATATGGGTTTGATTGTTAATGCTTATGAAGATTGATAATCATAATTAGATTTATATTTTACATTATTCTATCCTTTAAACTTGTTAACATGATACAGCATGTGTTACGTGTTCATTTTATGAGTAGTTTACATGTACAGCAGTTTTTATTACATAATTTTGTGTAGTTTTTAGTTAGGGGTCGTTCACATATTATTACGTAATCAGCCGAGGGGGAGGACGTTTCCAAATACTTACGGTTGATTTCGGGGGGGGGGGGGGGGGGGGGGGGGGGGGGGGGGGGGGGGGGGGGGGGGGGGTGGGTTTGGTTGATGATTACATAATCAAAATTTTCTTTTTTACCCTCTAGAATAATAACAATTTGACCATATTTCAATTCAAATTCCACTCAATTTCACCCTGATAGTGATAAAATTTTGAAATTGATCGGATATCCGACTAAAGTAAGTGGTTTCGAAGGTGATTGGCCGGATATCAACCAGAAATTTCCAAGAAAAATGCTCGAGGGCTGAATAATATTTTCGGCTCATAATGATCAGGGTTGCATAAACTGTGGAGAAAATAAAAGTAGTTTCCAGGAAAACGTTTAAAATTTTTGACTTGGAAAATTTTCGGCCGAGTCATTCTCGATACGCACATTGAACGGCAGACTCCCGGCTTCCGAACTCGTATTGCATAGCTAGGGGATATTATGTTCATTTAAAGGCAGACTCCCCGCTTTCGAACTCGTATTGCATAGCTAAGGGAGGCCTGCCCTCCGAGATCGCATTACAAAGGGGGAGCCTCGACTCCAAGATCGTATATTGAGGAGTAAGTCTAGACTTCGAAGAAGTAAAAACCAAACAAATATTTGCGGCTCATAATGATCAGGGTGGCATGAACTGTGGAGAAAAGTAGTTTCCAGGAAAACTACTAAATTTTTGACTTAGAAAATTTTTGGCCTGAGTCATTCTCGATACATACAGGTGGAGACTTCGAAATCGGGATAGAAAACAATATGTAAACTTATAAATTTCGGAAACTTATAAATTTCTGAAACTTATAAATTTCGGAATATTTTTACTGGATTGTTTTCAGCTTGAAAAGGCAAAAGGTTTACAAGATTAGCGTATGACATTAGCTAAGTGTTTTCCAGGAAATAAGTCAAAAGGGGGGGGGGGGGGGGGGGGGGGGGGGGGGGGGGGGGGGGGGGGGGGGGGGGGGGGGGGGGGGCCGGGGGGGGGGGGGGGGCCGGGGGGGGGGGGGGGGTCAGGCCATGATTACGTAATATTGCTGTCAGGAGGGGGGGTTTGGGTTGATTAAAAATTGCTAAAATATTGATTACGTAATATGGGAACGACCCCTTATAAGAAGCTTAAAGTTATCAAAAGTTTGTAGGAATCTTATCTAGTCTTGGTATAATACATTTTATCATTTTATCAAGTATATATATTTTTTTTAAACTTCAAACCGAGCACTATTATACTGATACAGAGCACTTTACTATCGACTCTGCACTGCCAACTAATCGTTAATCCGACACAAGTAGCTTATTATAAAACAGTGCGTGTGATCATCTGTCGTATCAAATCAAATTATTTGTCACTGTTAATAAATTATGATATGCAAGTTTTAATTTTTAAAGTTTTGGCTTTTTTTATGAATAAACGTAAAGGTTACATCATAATTTTCAATTTTCATATTCACGTATATTAAATAAAATTATATTGTTATGTATCATATGATTTTGTAAACATTGGCCGGTGCCCGGTGTACCAAAAACCGGTCCCCAAACAAAACAACAAAATATTACATTATTAGAATTAATTTTCGACTAGCTTTTAGAATTTCGACGAGTTTTATTCTGTGTGACAAAACATTATCTTGGATAAACTTAAAATCAATCAAACTTTATGTAAACGGTAGTCAGGGGCGTAGGAATGATTTTCTTCATGAGGGGGCCAAAATCTTAGAGTTTTTCAATTTTAGTACATAGTATGCGCTTTGGCCACAGCCTGAATTTCAAAAACAGCAAAACGTTCAGTGTCAACCATGCCTGTAAAAAGTTGTAAGTTCATGGCAGGATGGCCTAAGCAAAGGTTACATCTTGTCCAAATTCATTTGGGCAGGTGGATATAAATAATAAATCTAATAAGTAACTAATTTCCTAACTAAAAAATTAACTAATTAATTAGTTAATTAGAACTCAGCACTAGGGTGAATGTCAGAGGCACTCTTAGCAGACGAGTTTGTATACACAGTGAACAATGTGGACACCGAGACCTTCCTCATTCTAACTAGTGCTGGCATTTGCATTAGAGATGGAAAGGGGGCCTACTCCTACCGGCTTAAGTACATTCATCTGTCAGATGTTATCGGTGAGGGCATAATTATTAGTTAGTTATATATTTCATTATTATTTAGTTTAAATATATTTCATTATTAGTTAGAACTTATAAATTACGGTATATTATTAGTTAGAACTTATAATTTATAGTATTAATATTTAGTTATGTCATTAGTTAGTGGGTTATATTATTAGTAATTTGTGTGTAAAGTGTGGAGCCGCAATTGCTATTCTTCATTTATTTGAAAATATAAATCGCGATACTGATATCTGGATATTATCCGGTTGGAAGAGACAAGGACAAGTGAAACAAGGAAGTTAGGAGTAAGGGCAAATTTTCGGCGTCAACGCCATCTTCAGGCTAAAATTGTTATAAATGTTAGTATATAATAAATGCTTCTATACTAGTTAAAATGCTAAATTAAAATTACACACACTGAATACAGGTTACATCCAATGGTATTGTACATTACATTGAAAATAGTGATGTACACACGTTTTACACTCTGTCCAAGTACATAATATCTACTGAACAGCAGGGTCGTGTGCTATTTGTTTAAATTTGTCTTTGAATATGTTGTAAAAGAAATCCCTTAAGCTTCTCGCACTCTTCTTTGTTATTGATACTAGGTTTAAATAAATTAATGTAGTAAGCTTCTGTCACTTTACGTTTAATGGTGCTATATAAGTTAATTTCTAAAATATCGAAGGAAATATCTGGTTCTATGTTATCGTGAAACTCTGAATAATGAGCAGCCAACGCATTATCAGGATAGGTTAAAGAGACCAATTTTCTGGAGGTAGAGTCTTGAGTGATATGTAAAGTATGAGTTGGTGAAGACGAATTCAAGGATCTTGTGGATGTGCGTGAGTGTTAGACCCCAGGTGTCGAGGTCTTCCCAATGTTCTTCGGTGAGTGTAATGAGGTCTTGAATGCAGCCACTGATGTTGATGTTTGTGTACAGTGCTGTGACGTCAGCTGTGAAGAATGAGAGACCTGAGAGTTGTTGATGTGACATGTTTTGAAGCTCTTCTAGGTGAGTGTGTATATTGCTCAGGTGAGATGGAACATGATTAAGCAGAGGAGATAGAATAGATTTAACAATCCAAGCAAGCTTCTCAGAAGGGGAATTTATACAAGACACAATTGGACGTATTTTACAATTAGAAATAATATCTACATCTGAAACTAAGACATTACAATCAAATTTATGAGTTTTCTGTATTAAATAAATAGTCGGTAGTTGGGTATTATGTGATTTAAATGGGGTGCCAACCATCACCAATAGGAGCGATAGTACGAGTATATATGTTCGAGAGAAGATCGATTTACACTGATTTACACGTCTCATTCTACCGGAGATACGTGGATGATGCCGGGAGTCTAGCCAGCTCCAAAGAAGAAGCTCTGAGGATAGTGGAGTCCATCTCAAACGAGGACCCAGACCAGTTGCTCAAATGGGAAATTGACTATCCGGAAAGCCGTCAGGATTTCACCCCATTCCTCGACACCCAGATAAAGATCGACGAACAGGGAACACTACACCACAAATTCTACAGAAAGAAGCAGAAAAAGAATATCACACTGCACGCCAACAGCCACCACAATGAGGGAACTAAAGTAGCAACCATCAAGAACTTCTACAAAACGGCTGCTTTTTGCTCATCAACACCAGAGTATAAAGAAGAGTCCATGAAGATAGTAGACAACTTGTTGGTCAACAACGGTTACCAAGACCCACGACGTATAAACAAAACAGGACGACTTCACCCTCTCTCACCTACAACACGTCATAACCCTTCATCATCAAACATACAAGATACCGACCACGTAACATGCACTCTACCATTCATCAACGAGCCATTTTCCAAAGAAGTCACTCAATTTGCCCTCTCACACAACTTACCGGTCAAATTCATATTCACACCAGGTAAGAAACTCTCAGAGATCTTATGTTCATCACGACCACACGACAAACCACACTGCACCATACCAAACTGTATCATATGTCCACTCATCACAACAAATCACGACTGCAAACCAAAATGTGTCATATACAAACACCCTACGCGCGTGGGGTGGACTCCTGGGGTGGACTTTTATTCAGCGCGTATTTTGTAGCCTGTTCAACTTGACGTTTTGATTCGTTACTATCTCAATGTCACAGATACACAGAATGTGAGGTGATCATCTTAAAGAGAAACGTCTCAGCTTTCACCTGGTGTAAAGTTTATCTTTGTACTCAAAATATAGCTCGCTCAGTGTGCAATAGAAGTTGACAATACAATAACCACGTCTGCGACCGGTCGTCAGATACCGGAGTGTTGCACAAAATTGGGTCCCTAAATTAAAATTCTATGACACAGTTACCATGCAGAAATGTCTGGAGTAACATTTGGTGAAAATTTGAAGGGTCTACTGTAAATATTGCAAAAGTTATTGAAAACAAACTAGCTTAATCAGAAGTTTTTGGGAAAATTTCAAATTTTGTACGTAGTGGGGTCTACAGGGGTGGACTCTTGCGGCGCGCATCTGACGGAGTGGCTTTTTCAACAGCCGTCAGTACGGCCAATATCAGAGCACAAATTATTGTGAGTAAGACCTTAATGATCAGCTATGAACCCCTCACTAGAGTAGTAACCGTATCTAAAAACAAGGAAATGTTATTCCGTCAAAGCTCAAATTTTTTACTCTTCTCAGTGCAGTTAGTGTTACTATGAATGTACTAGCTAAGTATCGTTGATCGTAGCTGCATTACACAGTAGAAAGTAACCAAGGAAGAATGCTGATTAACGAAGCAATTTCAACGTGAACAGTTCCAAAATACATAATCATGGCGACGATAGTTCAACTTGAACCTTTATAGTTTTTACAGTCTAAAATCACAATAAAATCACGTGAACTGCAAATCACAAAATCAAATCACTCAAATCTGATAGTCCCGTTACAGTACGCTTTCGTGACAACCTCAACGCTTAAAAAATAAATATTATCCAGTCTTGTGACCACCGATGGCCCTAACTCTCCCTTGTCCGCGAGGAGCATCGTTGCGACCATGGGGTTTCAGTTCTTTGTTCTTCCCACTCGGCTTCGATAGATCGAATTGGCTGGAAGTCAATCTATCAGAAAGACCTTTGTCGATCTCAGGGGCGTGGTAAATTGTGGATGTCGGAGTATAAAGCTTCCTGAAAAGATTGAGACATTCACTCGGTCTGTTGTAAATATCAAATAGTCCTTGTAGGCAGAGATTTAACTTATGTTGGGTTTGATAACTAGAGAAGGCGATTTGATATTCATTGATAGTATAAGCATATAAGCATAAGTGATAAGTTTATATACCCTTTTTATGGTACCTCGAGGCTCGATATCTGTATTCAGTAATCATCACTCAAAATCTACTTATTAAATTTATTAACTAAACAAGTTAATGTATTACCGTCCTAGAGAGGTTTCCTGAGAATTTGAAGTCTCTGTAGGTTGCTGGCGTGTCTACTAAGCTCTTCGATTGAGGAGTTTTGGACCCCTCGGCGGTCCAAATGATTTATAATGCTGTGGGCATTTTCAACATCTATCGAGGTAAACGCCCTCGCAGCATAACCTGTAGAGAATGAACATGTCATCAATGTGAAGTTCAATGATAAAAATCAGAGTGGCCGATTTCAACGGGCAGAATTCTAATATCATGGCCATGGGGAATGGACTATTTTTTGTCGATTTTGCAAACCAAACTGGCAAACGATTGTTGATTTTCGTCACTAGTCTAAAATGAATGCAAACGTTCGGCCGAACATTTACATGATTAGAAACTTACCGGTTTCTTTCGTTATTATGTACAGACATGGCCGGGCTTGGGTTCCGCATACGATATCTTCTATCAGATTAAAGTTGAACCCACACTTTGTACTGCTCGTGGGAGGAGGAAAGCAAACAGAGACCTTTTCCATGAGCATCTCGTGTAGTACCATCATCATGTCGATTCTGATATCAGCTGCAAAATTCGTCTATTACTAAATGCTAGCTTTTCGAACTTCGTATCTTGGAAATAACAACTTCTATGAAAGAACACACACACACACACACACACACACACACACACACACACACACACACACACACACACACACACACACACACACACACACACACACACACACACACACACACACACACACACACACACACACACACACACACACACACACACACACACACACACACACACACACACACACACACACACACACACACACACACACACACACACACACACACACACACACACACACACACACACACACACACACACACACACACACACACACACACACACACACACACACACACACACACACACACACACACACACACACACACACACACACACACACACACACACACACACACACACACACACACACACACACACACACACACACACACACACACACACACACACACACACACACACACACACACACACACACACAGACAGATACACACACCCACAAACACATACAGACATAGACACACACACACAGAGACACAGACATACAGGCATACAGGCATAAACACAGACACAGACGGACACACAGACAGACACACAGACAGACACAGTTACACACAGACAAGGACACACAGACACACACCCACAAACACATACAGACATAGACACACAGACACAGGCATAAACACAGACACACACAGACACAGACGGACACACAGACAGACACAGTACACACAGACACACACAGACACACACAGACACACACACATAAACACACATAGTTCACTTCAGTGCACTACATTACAATTACAGACACACGCAGTACAATCAGAGACACACACACGATACAAAGACAGACACAGACACAAACACACAGAGTACACTTCAGTACAATCACAGACGCAGGCACAAAGACATATACAAGAAGAGCAGATTGAAGTACCTTCATTTGCAGATGTTGACGCATTGATCTGTGGGATATGTTCTTCAGTCTGTAACTGATCATCTGCTAGAACTGTCTCATCTGGATCAACCGGAGGAGTATCTTCCGGCAGGAGTCTGAGTGGGTCTATCGGGACAGCCATGGATCGCTCTCCCTACATTGTTGAATTAAAGACAAAGGTCAACGACGGCTGTCGCATGTTAGTCCTAAGTCCTGTAACTAAATGTAATCCAAAATAGTGAATAAATAATTTTTACATCTGAACGATTGTATGTCTGAATGGTGATTTTTAATCAATGAACAAAAGTTCAGGATTTTACCTTCTGTTAAGCTGTTAGCAATGACTCTAGCACCCTCTCCCTACAAAACGACCATATCTCGGTCTGAAGCTTTAAACCGTCTTGCCTCAGCAGCCATCTAGCACAGTCGACCTGTCCTGTTAATTGTGTGATCATCAAGTTACCAAATTTAATCCTTCAATATTCAAATAATTGATTATTAGACAAAACAGAGTTTAGAGCTCGACGTATGCTTCAGGGTTTCACACTGTGCTGTAATCAAACGCATGACTAAAACCTCTTGCTACTATTACCAATAAACCCATATTGTTAAGGCGGTCGAATGATTTACCTGAGTTGATCGCGTCCATGAAAGGGTTAAACTGCGTTCTGTCCAGCTTGTTAATGTCCGTTCCAGCAGCCAGCAGTGCCTCCGCCTCCGTCACTCTCCCTGCTTTGCATGGCCAGTGAAGCGTAGAGCTCCCCTCTAAGCTCTTTGACGATCCGACGAAGGATCCAGATTCCCTTCTTTTCTTTTGAGATTGCTTCAATTCTTCCTGGAGTATGCGGATTACCATTTATATACTTCCATACAGGGCGCGTGAACAATCAGCAATGAATTATCAATTAATCAATCTAGTTTTTGAGTAGAAAGTCCACAGATTGTGATACATTGGATTTGATATTGGAAAAGACATAGCTTACCAAATACCTTTTCATGGGCTTTTTGGAGGACAGGGATGACTTATTCCTGCGTGCCATTACACCATAACTATCTGCTGTAACAGCAAAAATTAGAATTATGTCGGACATAATTCTAAAAAATTGGAACATCGTAGTTAATCAGTGTGGTGCTAACAACAGAGAGCGATTTGAACGGTAGGCAATTTCATAAATTCCATTAACGCGATATAAGGATGATTGGAACAGGCTAAAATCTACTATGTAGCATTGATAACTGGCTATATCGCTGCATTAACCGATAAAAGTATTGCTAACTATGGATATTCTAAGTGATCTAGGCAGAGGGGAACCGGCACAGCCAGATTGCGTTGTCTTCAGTGACTAAGTTTCACGATAGTAAAATTGACCTTATTTATTTTTAAAAAGGATGCACAGTTCAAGCAATAAATCGATCAGCTGCTCATATGATATTTGCATTTAAAGGAGGGCCCAGTGCAGTGACAAGTAAGTCTGTTAAGGCAACATTTAGTTCTGAGATTAGCTGAGTCTTGACAAAGATAAGTTGAGTTTCGAGAAAGTGCACACGGATAAAGTTATCAAGTGAAAATGATAAGACTAAGTTAGGGTCCAGTCAACAGAATGGCAGCTGTAACAGAAACAGTTCATTGGATAGGGGAGTAGGGGATTATGACGGAGTGAAGTTTATATAGCAGGGCAAACAAAAAACAACTGACAGCACTGAGCAAGTGAACTGGAAAATTGAGGAAGGGAAATAACTGTGGTTGTCAGCCCTTTCCGTAGCAATCAGGATTTCCCACGAGATCGATCAGGCAATCAGGATTTCCCACGAGACTGCTCCATCCGATGCGCGCACTTTCGTCACGTGACGGCCACGTGACGGCCACGTGACGCTCAAATCGTTGTCACGTGGTACAGAAGGGAGGTTCCTAGAGCGTTGATATCGACAAGAGGGAGTTTCTCACGGTTTATCTTCAATAACTATCGCTATTTTTATAGTAGAGAGTTGAAACTTTCACCAAATGTTTCCCTAGACATTTCTGCATGGTAACTGTGTCATAGAATTTTAATTTAGGGACCCAATTTTGTGCAACACTCCGGTATCTGACGACCGGTCGCAGACGTGGTTATTGTATTGTCAACTTCTATTGCACACTGAGCGAGCTATATTTTGAGTACAAAGATAAACTTTACACCAGGTGAAAGCTGAGACGTTTCTCTTTAAGATGATCACCTCACATTCTGTGTATCTGTGACATTGAGATAGTAACGAATCAAAACGTCAAGTTGAACAGGCTACAAAATACGCGCTGAATAAAAGTCCACCCCAGGAGTCCACCCCACGCGCGTAGGGTGACAAAGTTACGTGTAAATTATGTCAAGAGCTATATATAGGGGAAACGAGTAGAACAGCACACGATAGATTTTCAGAGCATCGAAGAGCAGTCAACAGGCCTTTAACCTATCCTGATAATGCGTTGGCTGCTCATTATTCAGAGTTTCACGATAACATAGAACCAGATATTTCCTTCGATATTTTAGAAATTAACTTATATAGCACCATTAAACGTAAAGTGACAGAAGCTTACTACATTAATTTATTTAAACCTAGTATCAATAACAAAGAAGAGTGCGAGAAGCTTAAGGGATTTCTTTTACAACATATTCAAAGACAAATTTAAACAAATAGCACACGACCCTGCTGTTCAGTAGATATTATGTACTTGGACAGAGTGTAAAACGTGTGTACATCACTATTTTCAATGTAATGTACCTGTATTCAGTGTGTGTAATTTTAATTTAGCATTTTAACTAGTATAGAAGCATTTATTATATACTAACATTTATAACAATTTTAGCCTGAAGATGGCGTTGACGCCGAAAATTTGCCCTTACTCCTAACTTCCTTGTTTCACTTGTCCTTGTCTCTTCCAACCGGATAATATCCAGATATCAGTATTTCAATCATGAGACTAATAAACAGCGAACTACTCCGTTATTTGATAATATAAATCGCATTCAAAGGTTTTTGCGCCATATTTCGTTGTGTATTTCCATAATAAAGTAGGCAGATATAACTAATTTTACTTCGGTGGCCTTATAATCTAGTTGTTGATTTAATTATTTTGTATACTAATTTGCTTCATACAGTGTATTGCTGAATAATTTAAGAGTTAAATGTACAAATGTCCTTATGAAAGTTTGGAGTTCTTGTCTAATACCTGTCGGAGACTGCTTACTTTATAATAATGTACTTTTCAGGAGCAAAAGTTCACTACGGAGCAAAAGATAGTGTTTATCTTTTAGTTCATTATTTCCCACTTATAAAAAACAGGTAACTAGAATTTTTTGTTTATTTCTTTGCAAAGCACAAAACAAGATATCTGATATATAGGGTGTACCACTTAAATTTGACTTTTTTCTACTAATATAATTTTCGACAAAATCAAATTTCACGGACTTGAAACTAGTTGGTGGTATCATTCTCGCTCATTGCACATATTAAACACTTTGACAGCAAAGTAAAAGTTCTGCTAGTCCCAGGATGGTGCAAGCTCTTTGTAAATTGTAACATAGCTGTAAACTTGAGTAATTTAATACTCAATACTCAATACCAGCCGATAAGCTGTAAACGGAGAAACAACACCCAACAAATTGGAACATACACTAAAATAAAACACGTACAACGACAAAAAACGTGAAATTTGAGAAATTTGATAATTAAGAATTCATAGCCGAATTATGAATATCAAAAAGTATAAGTTAATACGTCGAGGTTTTGAATAATTTTGTTATCTGAAACATTGTCTCACTTACACTATTAAGTTACGGAACATGGAAATAACTGTAAGATTTCCTTGGGCTGTAATCTCTGACAGGCCTATGATTATCTCAACGCAGAATTTAATGCTCGCGTAAAGATTATGCTTTTTGGAATCAGTATAATGAACATAAAAAGATGCTGTGTAGACTGTAGATGCAGAGAATTCATGGTCCACCGACAGTCATCCTCTAAAGTCACCTAATTTGTCTAATTTTAGGGAGGGGTGCCAACATGCAACGTTACGCCACTGATAGTCCCTAGTGAGTAGGGACTAGGGAAGAAGGGATGCTACCCTTAAATCTCCACTTAAATCTAACCTAGATTATGTAACCCTCATCGGTCGAACTTTGTGGGTATGCCCTGGTTCTTCTAGTGGGACATCATTTAGACAGAACTGATAAATTAATTACGGATTTTGTTTCCAAGATCTTCTATCCTCGCTTTAGAATTACACATGAAAAAGGTGCATAATTATTGCATATTGCTGTAACTCACACAGTAAATTTATTAAAATGGTAACATTCTTGCGATATTAGAACCTCATACTGATAAGTACGTGATGGAGGGAGAGTTGGTCACGTGTAAGTAAGAAAGTTGGTCACGTGATCTGCTGAAATCGGCTGATAATCGGCCGATTCTTTCTTGAGAATCTTGAAGACTTAATTTAACTGTGCACGCATAATAGCCAACGAATATTTAAGCATATTCGGTTGCATTGTGGTGGAGTGTGGACATATTGCTGCAAAATTAAATAATTTAAGTGAAATAATTTAACTTCGATACGTACAATTGTACAATGTACATGTGCAATGAGAATGATGTTAATACTCACATTGCATGTTTTATATACCTAATAATGATTTAAGATTTTCAGTGGCATCCATCTATAATGGATGAATAATTGTGATCTTGATTATACTTTTGTCCCTAATAAAATGCTGTAAAAATTACGCCTACCTGAAAATTGTAACGTGACTTAAATTATTATCCATTATTAAAAATGTTGTTTAACTTAATGAATTAATTTTGGACCTACTATTAATTTAACAATTTCAGGTTTAACGGTAAAATACAACGCTGTAAAAAGCAAGTAATCCTATGTGCAAACCAACACGAGACAGCAAGTGGTAACGTGAGTCAGTGTATGAATTGGAGGAGAGCGATCACCCAACAAATATACGGGTAATTAGCGAGTAATTAGGGTAATTAGATGTTAATCAACACTTTTTATTTAATTAACATTTTTATCAACTTACAAATTCATTTGATAAAAATAGTTAGTTCCAGCTTTAGTTAGCAGGAAACTATACGCTGTACGTATTTACGAGCAGGAACAAGAGTCTAACTCTAAAGTGGTGTCAAACCTCAAGAGACTAAAATAATTATTACCTATTTAATTCGCTTAATCTTTTTTATTTGTTTTTTATTTTTTCATGCTGATTTGAAGGCCATTAAAGCATAAATTGAACCAGTCAAAAAAGTTTAAGTATCAGTAAAATGGTGCGGATACATAATATTCTAAACTGGTTTATCTGCATTTTCATAGTTTTGAGAAAAACGCTTTTAAAATTTTACACATTTTTTCTGCAATATAATAAGTATAATAGCCCCAATTTTGCTTTTATGGCATCCATATGGACAAAATACATCTGCATATGATTAATTTGCAGGAAATGCATCTTTATTCAATTAGTTAATTGGCTATTTGCATCAGATATACCATTTTCCAAACATATAATTTGTATTTTTCTATAAAATTGGTATATGTGTTGATATTCTATTTTATTTTACATAACCAGCAAAAAATAGCTCTGTTAAAATTAAAAATCGAAACAGTTAAAATATTTCGATCCTAAGTAGTAATATAAATAATAACAGAAAATATCAGCATTGAATAATGTTCTGTTTTTGAATTTGGTTTTAAAGTTTTTATTTGTTTAAAATTCAGTAAAACTTCTCATTGTATTTTTACAAAATAGATGCTATGAACATTATTGTCACTTTCACTGGCTTTTGACGAAACATCTGCTGAAAGAGAGACATACCAGCCATGCTGGGCCGCGACCGCCATCATTTTGCCCAAAACAGCTCTCATGTGATGAAAAACAGCACCCTTGGACATATCATGAGCAGTCCAGGGACACCCCTGAACTTTTATTTCTAGGTTTGAGTCTGGTAAATTGACCTCCTTTTGAACACCAAATGGATAGAACTGGTAGATACAATCCCTCATTGGGAAACCAACATCGATGGGAAAATCAAGTAGCCGAAGCCTATTTAAGCTGGTCAATGACAAGCAAGCATATCTGCAGTTTACTGGGTATGGATTTTTCCGGAAGAGAATAGAGGCTTTATCAGTCAATCTACGGCTTATGTCAATTGCGTAAAGAGGAGTATATCCATTTTGCCCAAAAACTTCCATAATCCGCGAAATACTTCTTCGTGCAACAATGGCTTCATGATCTGTGGAATGCCAAGGATTTCCATGTACTTTTATTTCATGGCTACCGTAATAATCCAGCTTTTCTTGGATAGAAAGACCAGCATCAGTAATAGCGGTCTCCAAAGGCTCAAGAAGGTGGTTGCAGTTAATCAACCTCAACCTGTCCGTTTTAGACAAGGTCAGCATACAGAAATCATTTGGATGAGCAGTAAAAGTTGGATCGTACATAAAGAAGAAGGAGTCGGCAGTCCCTTTTAAATTAGTTGAAGCAAGAAGCCTCCAGTTTAGTCCACCCATCCTTCCAACCAAACTGCAAATTGCTTTTCGAGTGTTTATCCCATCTTCGTGAGTATGACCCCAGTATCCATTTAAAGAAATCTCATGCAGCATCTCACCAGAGGACATAATATCCTCGGTTCCCGATACACCCTTGGGCCATGCATCTCCAAGAGCTAGCATAACTGCTTGTTTTATATGTTCATCATGATGCAGAAGGGCAAGTTTGTTGCCGTCCATCCCACCAGGAGCAATACAGCAAACTCTAGATCGAGCTCTGTTTTCGTTGGGTATCGCACTCTTTGAAAAGAACCAAGTAGCCTGGTCACATTGTCGTGCTAAATCACTGCTTATGTGCATGTTGTAGCCTAAATTGTACATTTCTTCCAACAGACGTAGAGCAAAGAACTTTCCAAGAGTAGCTCTGGTTTTTCCTCCCCCAGCTGTGAAAGTGCGGATATCCCCAACATGCATCTTTAGAGTACCGTAGTATTCGATAAGAGGACCTCGAGTGAATCCACATTTGGCAGTTATTTCTTGGTCGAGTCTTTCAAGCATTTCTCTCACGTCTGGAGTCACATTCATGACCCTTATCTTGGAATGCGAACATATTGATATTGCGGTGTAGGAATCAGGAATTGTGGCTACAGATAACTTTGATGCTTGGTTTCCCATGTTACCTATTTAAGTTAAGATGTGATTGTTTTCATTAATTATTTAACATTGTAACTGTAGAACACCTAGTCAAGTAATGGCGATGTCATTTCCGGGGTGATGTAAAAATACTGTTGCGATTTTAAATGGGCACAATTTATGTGATAAATTAATTAATCACTCTATTTTTGTATACTATTTAGGCTTTAAAAAATGTATGAAATATATAATAATACCGGGTGGACCAAGAGTTAGTACCCATACATAGGCGTTAATAGCTCAGTCACTGAGTGCCCAATTAAAATAATTCTTCCTGGTATGTTCATTATTTTCAAATGAAGGTTCATCTTACCCTTACCCTTACCCTTACCCTTACCCTTACCCTTACCCTTACCCTTACCCTTACCCTTACCCTTACCCTTACCCTTACCCTTACCCTTACCCTTACCTTACCCTTACCCTTACCCTATCACTTACCTTTACCCTTACCCTTACCCTCTATTCCCTACTCACTGGTAGTAACTTCGGACCGTTAGGGATTCAGTCCGCTTACCAGTTTCCATAATCACTCGAATAATGTCTTGTTTCATATAATATTATAAATGTAATTATTACATAGACAGTATTGTGCAGACAGTATTGAGTATTGAGTCTGTTCCGTATCATGTGATCATGTGATGATAAAACAGTAATTATTGTGTGTCAGCTGAGTGGGACAATGTATAGTGTATACAATAAGTATAATGATGGCATTATTTTCACCCTAATTCAACAAATCTGTTAAATTCACTAGCAGGAACCCGTCTAACTCTAAAGTGGTGTTCAGCAGATTAAAAGCAAATGGAAGGTGAATGACGGAGGAACCTATATCAATAGAAATAGAACAGGCAACTATAGAACTGTTTAAAGAAGAGTTGACAGATTTCGTTTTATGTGTGGACGAAATATCTCAAAGCTAGACAGTTTCCCGGCAGTCCGATCACAAAGCAGGCAAAGAACCCGAATGCTAGCAAGCCAACATAAATTCTGTACTGAGTAGTTTCCAGGATCGAAGTCTCATTCATCCTAAATCTTATAATCAGCGTAGCTTGAGGACACGTTTTTTTTAAGTGTGGTGAGTTGCTGATTTCACCTTTTTCAAAGTAGAGTGCACAAAATGAGGAAAAAGTCGCAATGCTTTTTAAAGTGCAAACATACATTTGTACATAGGATGAAGTGAAAATATTCAGCAGTTGTGATTTGAAAAAACGAAGTGCCAGGCTCAAGCAGAATATGACTTATGAGCAATTAAACTGAGTGCCAAAAATCAGCAAACCATTTTAACCTCCAATTGACTAATTCCATTGATTTTGCCATATTTTGCTCAAATATTGTTCACATAACACTAGTAGATTGGAGCGAGTAACTGTTTTCAGCATTTTAGTCATTATTAGCAATTCCAGTAAGTGACAGAATCCAGCAAAAAGTCATTTTTATATCTGAATACGACTACTCTATTGATGGTTCTTGTCAAAATATTAAAAAGATCAAGGCGTGACTGTGCTATTTTCTGGATAAGATAATGTTTGGTTGTGTCTTTAAACTTATTCTTACATGTCTATGTGCGAGCCATCAGCAAAAAGTCACACATGTATCAGCTTGAAATTTATCTTTTTTTAATTGATGAAATAAGTATCGAAATTTCAGTTCTCTTTTTCAGTCACCTTATTGACTTTTAGATTGAAGTTGCCATTAATCAGTTAAAAGACGGCTTGAACTCTGTACTGCTTACACTCAATTATGTCCCGAGTGCCCAAATTCAGCATATCAGTCATATAGATAAATGATGTAAAAAGACAAAAATTGTCCATTTCTTGATCCATGGGTGTACAAGTGTTAGTTTAAGCATCTATTTCGAAAAGTAATGTGTTCATAAAGGGGTCAAAAACAGATAATAATATTAGAGTACCACTAATCAGCTGTAGTGACTGCTGCAGCCAGCGTGGGAATTACCAACTATTGGAAGTCAATATCAGCATTATCAATCATCTCAAACCACCAAATTGTTTATGTTGCAGATACGAATCTTAGTTTAGTTATATCCTGAAAATTTAAACAACAAATGTGTCCTGAAAATCAGTAAAAAGTGACTTATTTGACTGAAATAGTCATTCTTACTGCTAAATGGCACTCCTTTTAGTTCAGAATATTGTTTGAGGGAGCGTTGTGCCTTTTTTGTTTAATGTGGCACAATTTTGTTGCACTGTGTGCCATTATTCAGCTTAAAATGACTTATTTTTCTAGGCATATACCAATGGTAAATCACATAAAATTTGTGCTTTGTAAGCCGTGTTGTGATAACCTGCTATAACTAACTTAAAACTGGCACAATGAACTTCAAACATCAATAGTATGTCCCAAATTTCCATGATGAACATGATATTGTTGTCAGAAATCTACTTTATCGTGCCAATATTCAGCAAAAAGTCATTTCTATGAAGATTTTAAGCTAAAAATATTATTTATAAAATGACTTTTTGCTGAATTAGAACACACAATATCGTTAGATTTTGTAAAGAATCATCTTAATGAACCTGCTTAGGCTGTCAGACATCAATTGTATAGTGCCAATATTCAGCAAAGAGTCATTTCTTTCTAATTTTTAATCGTGATGAATTTGACCTAAAAATGACTTTTTACTGAAAACTGACACACTCTTAAGTTGATTTTCGGACAGAATGCTGTTGAGCAGACTTAATCTCGACAGTATGATTGAAAAACGTTCTAATTTTTTGCTTTCTAGCTACTGCAATGTAAAAAAAACTCAATTGTAATTTTGTGAGTGAATTTTTACTGAATACAGGCACACAATAGGTTTTTCCTAGGTTACATTATTACAGACCAACGTTTCTTGAAAGTTGTTACTGTTCATTCACAAGCTGATCGAAAGTATGGGCCTTGTACAACCCCTTCAACCAAACTAGAAATTTGACCAAACAAATGACTTTTTGCTTATTTTGAGCACAGTTCAAGTATTCCTACCCCAATCCAAATATTCTTTGAATAATTCTGAGACATAATCTGAATTTTGAACAGAAAAGTCGCAAAATTCGGTTTTTTACGGGCGTTTTAAACATTATAGTCCAAAATGCTGAAAACTGGCACTACCTTGGTACTATATTATGACATATTAACTAACTAATGGATTTTCCTTACAGGGGCAGCTAAGATTAAAGGCATTTCTGTGCAACACTTTCTAGTTACTAGTCATTTTACTTTCATTGTCAAAAGTGTCATGGCACTCAAAGTCATTTTCACCACACTTAAAAAAAACGTGTCCTTGAATCAATATATTATGGAAAGTTTCTCGGACTACTTTATCACAAACTTACGTTAAGACCTTCAAGTACTGAATAAAACTGATAATTATTTAAAGCTGTGGCTCACTGGCCCACGGTTACTTTAATTTATTTATAACTTAAAACACCGGTATAGTAGTAAAATAATTAATGAGGAAACAACTCATAAGCTGAGGCTAGGCAGGGTGCGCTAATAGACCGCATGGTTAAGATCTGTAATGTACAGGATTAAAGGCACGTGATTAGAGTGATAACTGTTGATTGACCCTTTCAGATCGTAGAGGGCTTCAACACATGCTCGCTTTGCACATGCATTGTTTTTATTTCGCTATGACTATAATCAATAATGATAAAGTAATAAGCAATTTAAAGTCATGTCCCTAGCCCGTTCGTCGCACGTGCATTAATTATGAGTAATTAAACTTGCATGTTGTAGAGTTGTAGGACGAAATATCTCAAAGCTAGACAGTTTCCCGGCAGTCCGATCACAAAGCAGGCAAAGAACCCGAACGCTAGCAAGTTATCATAAATTCTGTACTGAGTAGTTTCCAGGATCGGAGTCTCATTCATCCTAAAACTTATAATCAGCGTAGATTGAATCAATATAATATGAAAAGTTTTTCGGACTACTTTATCACAAACGTATGTTAAGACCTTTAAGTAATGAATAAAACTGATCATTATCTAAAGCTGTGGCTTGCACTGGCCCACGGTTACTTTTATTTATTTATAACCTAAGACGCCGGTAAAGTAGTAAAATAATTAATGAGGGAACAACTCATAAGCCACGGCAGCGTGCGCTAATAGACCGCGTGGTTAAGATCTGTAATGTACATGTTGGGCACAGAAAAAGTGTGCTTTTGGGCACTAAAATTCTTGTTCCTGGGCCAATTTTTATTTTTTCATGCTGATTTGAAAGCATTTAAACCAGTCAAAAAAGTTTCAGTTTTATATCTTTTACGGTTTTTGCGGAACATCGTGTTAAAAGGTTAAAGTTGATGCCGTGGTGTCAGTAAAATTATACGGAAAACATATGTATATTATAATTATATATTGTTAGTCAGCCAATACTGTAAACTATATATAATATAATATGTTTTAATACTTTCAACACTACTATATAACAAATAATTTGAGGATGACTGTAAAGGTATATTTTACCGACATTTGAAGTCAACGCGTTATTTTACTGACAGTTGTGGCTGACTAACAATATATATATAATAATATATATATAATATCGTCTCGATTTATATATATATAGTAAGATTTAGTATTATGTAATGGGATGGAAGTGCTTCAACCTGGTGTCACCAGTCCACAACCTGCTACTAGAGTACACACGTAACTTGGCAACTCACATTTGCACACACTTATTACACTCTTCCAACCACATTTCACATTGTAACTACTTATACGTGACTATGAAATAGGAAGAAGAAGACATCAGCTGATGTTGAGATGGTGAGATGGTACCAACGGTTGTGGTAGTACCGGTTCTATATAATACGTATTACGTCATGAGAGTGTTCTCTGAGTTCAATTTACCTCGTTTAGCCGAAAATAATACCGTTATAATGTTATCCATATATAATATGCTTTTATCCCTTCTGTTGTTTTTTTTTTCAAAACTGATTAAAATGCCCCAGAAACAATTAGAAATTTGAATGAAAGAAACATGAAATCATGAGACTCAATAATAATACACGGCTCAATGAGACTTCTTTCACAGGTGTGACGAGACAGCAAGCGGAACCATAACGTCAAAGAAGAGAACGTTTCTAGCTTTTGTAAACCCTAAAGGAGGCAAAGGTATCGCCAAAAAGATGTGGCTTAACACAGGTAATTAATCAATTAATCTTGTACTAAGATGTTTTACTCTTTTATTCCTTAAAATACCTGATATTTTATTGATTCGTCCGGATATATGTGTGACAATAAGGGCTGGAATTAATGATAGACAGATATACTCGCTGATGATATCCCTACATTAGATATAGATAGTATAGGAATTCTAATTCCTATAAGTTGGGAATGAGGTAATTGTCTGTTCACAGATCACCCTCTAAAAAACCTACAAGGAAACATTTCCTGTAGATTCTCGGTATATAAGCAACATTTGACAGAGCAAATTGTGGAGTGAGCTACGTGCCCAGCCTTGCCAACTCGGTGGATGTCCTTGCTGTACGGCAGTGTTAAACAAGGAACTGAAACCGAGGGGTTCCGTTCAGGCCCTTCACACTTTGTGTCTGTCTGGTTCTAATATACCGTTACAATAATGACTTTAATATACCCGCTGACTGTATCGGTTGACTAGTTTTATTGTTTTACAATTTACAACTATATATTGATTGCTACATTTCCAGTCAAACCGATGCTGGACGTGGCGGGAATAACAAGCGAGGTAGTGTACACTGAGTACAGTGGTCACGCGCGAGATTACGTGCAGGAGTGTAAAGAGCTCTTCAAGTATTCTGCTATCATGACAGTTTCTGGTAAATACTGCTATTTTGTTTTCTAAATTAAACTCATTAAACTAATTAAATTACAACACTACAAATCTATTACTAAATACTGCTATTTTGTTTTCTAAATTAAACTAATTAAACTAATTAAATTACAACACTACAAATCTATTACATGAGGCTCTAAAGATGTAGTTTATTTACTCAAGCCTACTATTGTGTGTTTCCCTTCATGTCTAAAGGCAACGTAAATTACAGATGTTGTTATGGTGGAATTTGTAATTAGTTTACCTCTAGATACTGGAATTATCCCATCGTAGTTTTGATGTAACTACAAGGTTAAAAGCTGCCTAAAATTTGTCTCAATTGGGACAATATGAAGAAATACTATGATTAACTAATGACCAACTAATAACATGTTGTACGAATATTGTCTAGACTTGTAGAATTGTTTAATGAGTTTATTTGGTTTGAACGGTGTAACCCGCTTATAGAGTTATAGGTAAAGTCTAGACTACTTATACTCTTATACTACACTCAGTACATCTATCAGTCATAGTACACAGTACTATGTACACAGTACTATGTACACAGTTATATGTAAACAGCAACAGAGTTGAGATGGTTGTGTTTGTGATGCTCGACACGTCATATTGACGTACAATATCCACCCGGTTGTGCAGAGGTGCAGTACTAGTGCGCGGTGCAGATAAGATAAATCACATATTTCTCATCATACCAAAAATACCTTAACCTTCCTTTATTGAGTTATTGAAAAAGTTGTGAACATAAGGAGGTCCTGAGAACAAATTCAACAACTGTGACGCCAAGAATTTCGCTTTCTGCAAATTTGTGCTTATTTGATACAAAAGAAACGCCATTTCGGGACGTGAGGAGAGCTAGGACTCCTCCAACTACATTAAATCAATTCTTTCTGTAACGTCCTCAATAAATGTAATAGAGGGAATAGATTTGTAGTGTTGTAATTATTGATAATTAATTCAAAACTTTAATTTTACATCTTAACATTCCAGGTGATGGTATTGTATTTGAAGTTTTTAACGGCCTGATGAAACGAGAAGATCACGCGGAGGCTATTAAAATACCACTTGCTATCATCCCTGGTGGTTCAGGTAATTAGCTAATTAGCTAATTAGCTAATCAGATAATCAGATAATCAGATAATCAGCTAAATTGTTTATTGATTGTTCGACGATTACTAGGTATAAGCAATTACTTGCTTGACGGGGTTTTTGTTACTAGTTTTTGTTACTAGTTCAACAAAATCGGCACCCTTCCCAACTAGTAACTAGTTGTGAATGGTTCCGATTTTGCTTTTACTCGCGACATTTAGTCGAGGTTCTAATGTAATATGGATCAATAAGAATTGGTTGATCGCTGTCACGCTTCAGAACAAGATAAGGCCAATCTACCCAGTACCCAAGTATATATTATTATCCAAGTATGAACGTGTAGAAAATATTTTAATCGCCTCATTGAAATCGTTGATCCAATTATGACATAATTGCTCATTGCTGCTATTCCACGTGGTGAACTTACATGTAAGTTAGCGAGTAACTTCTTGCACTGAACTAAATGGAACGCGCGAATACTGTGTATTGAAGTTACGCGCCGTAAAACGCGCCTTTTATTATTATATTTATCTGCTAAATAGTAGCATGTGATTTGTATCGTGATCAAATTACACCTGCTCATCTGTGAGACGCGAGTAGCTGTGTAAGTAAACCATGTGCGCGGATTCCGGACTCACTCGAGCAATTGAGCAATTAGTGATACTCAGGATCAGTGGGCATTGCCGTTGCAGCTTTTATGAGGGAACAATAAGAATAATAAGTCAATATCCCATTAATAGAAGGATTATGACTAAGGGTTACGATTTAGCTCACAGAATTACATTGCAGCCCTAGCACTTGCCAACGATCGAATAATATCACAAGTAGGGATCGCACACAACCTAACTTTTCACCTAAGATTATTACAGGAAACGGACTATGTGCAGCAATCCTCCATCAGTCCACTGTTCCTGCAACTCTTATGGATGCTGTGTACGTTGCTATTAGGGGTATTTCCACACCACTGGATATGGTTCGGGTCGAGCAGGTATACTTCAACACACCATTTAAAAAAAAAAGTGAAATTATTTATCAGCTTGAATGGGATTTTTATTTAATTTCTCCTCTTGTGTTCTCTAGGTTATTTGCTCTACTCGATTCTGATCTTATCAGATTGTTTAATGCACGCTGACTGAAAAGGCACTATTTTCTTTCAAAGCCCCTACTACTTTTCTGCATAAAATCATCCGATCCTTGAACGGTCAGTGTATTCTAGAATATTCTAGTCTCTAGAATATTCCAGAATAATGGACAGCTCACCATTTTTAAATTCTCGATATCGATATAGGGTGAAAAGGTGATGTGGTCTTTCCAAGCAATTTGTTGGGGGTTTATGAGCTCTATCGACATCGAGAGCGAAATGAACAGGTCATATAACAGCTTTATGTAGTTAATCTGATAACCATGGAGACCGATCAAGTCGAATGAATATTTCACATGATCAACTCGCATGAACAGAAGTCAATCCCCTCATTTATTCGTCTGATCCTTTTTCTTAATTCGTTTGATCCGTGATTTTTAACGTAAACAATGATAAAACTGTCCGGTTTTGTTCATAAATGATTATAACCATTGATTTTTGACATCAAGCAATCAGCATGATGCTAGCTAGCTGAAATCAACGATCCTGGGTTTTGATCATTTTGATTGGTGCAAAAACCCTTAAAAGTGGGAAATTCATAAAATACACTTACAGCTTTACAGTACAGCCAATTGACTCATTAAACACTTCAACTGATGAAGCCGAATTCTCAAACCTTATCGTTAAGCACCGTCTTGTCCACTCAGGCGAATCCAAATCCTACTTACACCAATACACTAGGCCCCTATTTACACTAGGCCTCTATAGCTCTATTTACACTAGACCCCTATTTACACTAGACCCCTATTTACACTAGACCCCTATTTACACTAGGCCCCTATTTACACTAGACCCCTATTTACACTAGACCCCTATTTACACTAGACCCCTATTTACACTAGGCCCCTATTATACACCCAGCATCTGGATTCGCTTGATTGCTTCAATTTCTCCCGTGTCCCTATCAGACGGATTAAGTTATCTTCCCCACACACCACGTGACACACCACGTGACACACCACGTGACACACCACGTGACACACCACGTGATACACCACATGACACACCACGTGACACACCACGTGACACACCACATGACACACCACATGACACACCACGTGACACACCACGTGACACAACACATGACACAACACGTGATACAACACGTGACACATCACATGACACACCACGTGACACAACACGTGACACAACACGTGACACACCACGTGATACACCACATGACACACCACGTGATACACCACATGACACATCACGTGTTCCCTATCAAGAAATCTCTGCAGGGAGAAAACGTCATGTGGTCGTTTTTATCTATCGCGTGGGGCATTTTGAGTGCTGTTGATATAGAAAGCGAAAAAATGAGGTAACTTATTTTGTAAATACTTTTGAGTTATGACGAGAGGTGATCCAAAATCATTGAGCAGTTTTTTCGCCGTTGTCACGTGTTTGCGCACACGTGACTGTTCGAGTGTTCGTTTTATGTTGATGTTCAGCACTGTGTTTTCCCGCGTTTTTACCACGTGGTTACGATTTGAAACATTTTTTGCATGGTGTTGCTGCTGATATCTCAATACAACGCTTGATTTTGTTTGCTATTTCGATTTTAAGTCATGAAATTGAAAGTGAATTTAACTTTCATTTGTGACAGCAGCTGCGGAGGAAAATTTACAGACATCTTCATTTAAATTCTTAACGCTTTTTGTGTCAACAGCATTCAGAATCACATAAACTTTGTATATGTAATAAATGTAACATGTATATTGTATATTATATGTACAATGTATATATAATGTACGATGTATATTGTATATGTGCTTTATCAGTTCAGTTGATCAGTTTAGTTGATTTGATCTCAATAAAATACATGTCTGAACTTTTTGATTTTGGATCATCCTAATGTTTGATTACTCCGTGTTATACTGGGGAAGTTTGTAAATAAACCAACTTGCTGCCCAGATTGTATTGTTATTAATTAATTGTTGAATTTATTTATATGTTAAACAGGATTAAACATAAATTTGTCAATGAGAGCCCTAACACTCACGTCTTGACTATACATCAATAAAAATAAATAAATGAATAAATAATGTGCAAAATAAAAATTTAGAAAATAATTAAAATGACTATGTAAATACACCACGTGACTAAATTTTCGCAGGTGGATGGGCGAGGCGAGGTTCACGGTGGAAGCTGTTAAGAAGCTTGTATCTTTCCCTGTTAAGAGTGGTAAAGTTTGGTTTGCACCGGTTGGAGATGAGCCGGAATCTAAATCGAGTAAATAATGTTTATTGTAATTAAATAAGTAAATTACAAACTTTTCAACGCTGAAAATACATATTATATTGACTTACCGGACTTTTTTAACTACGGAGAAATTGCGACTTAAACGACAAACAAACCTAAGCTGGCCCGACGTTGGAACTTTAACTCCATGTTAAGTATCCTGTTAAACAGTCTGTAAGATGCTGCTAGTGTTGTAACGGGTGATTACAAAAAAACTTAACTTTTTTCAAATCCTTTTATCAATTCATTTGTGGTCAAAATCGATGAAACAGTGTTAAAATTTGGACAATTTGAACTCAAATAGTCGATGGCAAACACTTGGAAGCCCCTTGCGGTAGGCACAGAGCAATCTCTTTCTTAATACAGCCTGAAGTGGCTTGTACATTTTGCTTGGGAATCTTCTTGATGCAAGATCTTATTCTGCGATTCAGAGCTTCTGCATCTCCTGCAATCCAGTTGCGGGCATCAACTGTTTCATTGATTTTGACCACAAATGAATTTATCGTCCCGATAAAAGGATTTGAAAAAAGTTCATTTTTTGTTTGTTATCACTTGTTACTATCTTACTATGAGTTATTAATTCAAGTATTTAATTTAAGTATTAGTTTTTTATTTAATTATTTGATTTAAGTATTAATTTTTTATTCTTAACCCTCCTTCAGCTGTTTCGTCCCCCCGACCCGTTCCCCGTCCAAAAAAGATAGAAAAAGACTCGATAATGAATAAATCGAGCACCTCAGTTATTTCAGGAAATCTTGACGTATCTGGGGACGCGATCGGGTATATAATTTTAAATTTTCAGACTATTTATCCGAAACATGTTTTTATGGGCAAGGTAACACGGGCACTATAGTACGATTTTTCTGTCACATCTTTAAATCATCGATCATCTTAATTTACTCGAAAATTTATGATGAAGTTGAAGGTGCTGGAATTGGGATACTGTTCCGGCATCGGACGTCACGTGAGTTGTGGCGTCAGAACTCACGTGACGTCAGAACTCACGTGACGTCAGAACTCACGTGACGTCATGTGTCTAGGACTCAATAAAGAGTAGTTCTATAAACCCACCGTCCCCAGGGAAATATTAGACCCTAATTTCGACTTCACGGCTCTTAACGACGTGGATTCAGACTCGGACGGAGACTCGCAAGATATCGACTCTAAAATACCGGACCGGAGTCGTGTTGTTTCGGAGTCTGTTACTTTACAGGTTTGTTGGTGAATAAATGTGGAGGGGGGGGGGGGGGCCGGGGGGGCAATGTATTGGTATTTGGTCGCGGGGGTCTGAGACAATACCAGTATTTATCGATGTTTGATTTGTCATTCTATACTAACAGTCGGAAATCGTTAAAATGTGATATGTAAGATATCGCTAGCGGCTTACCTAAAGCAGTTCCCACTTAAGGGGGCATACACCAAAACAGTGGTTTGTGCCGTCCAGACCAAATGACCTCATAGGCAGTTCAGTGACCTTCTAGCGCACCGTTTCCACACAAAAAAAAATCATTTTGAGAATTCCCATTTTTGTAATCGACCATTTCCTGGTTAAGAGTGCAATTTTCGGAAAAAATTATTTTGTGGTTGAGACGCTATAAGTTAATCATTTCTTGCGGTATCGGGTTGAAATTTTGCTCGCCCTTTATTCACATCTATTTCAATGTGTGTGTAAAATCTTGATATCGTATCTAAAAAGGCTGGTGTGTTATGAATTTTTAAAGTCAAAAAGCTAAAATTGTCCTTTTCAGGCTTATTTTAACAAAAAGTCAGTCAGGGAAGATCGGATTGATTTGATGCTTGACATCAAATTGTTCTCTGAATTCTGGCGCAGTTTTTGATGCCCTCAAAAATGTTTTTACTCATTCCCCTTCAGATCTATTGGACCTCAAAGCCAAACAACAAATTTAGGCACATTTTTCGTTTTTAATATACCTTACAAGACATATTTATGTGGATCATAATTCTGGGGATCGGAATTATGGGGGAACGAAAATATGGGGATTTTTTTTAGAAATTAAATTGTCGCATTTTCACGCTAAATTATTTCAGAGAAATCAAAATCAGTTTTTGATGGAATTTTTTTAAATCGTGAAAAACTAAATTAATTAAAAATCATTCTCTTCTTTAAATCGTCTTCATCGTCGTCTCTTTCACCTTGAGTCTGCTCACCGGTGTAGTCCCAGGTGTATGCCTCCCTCAACAGGGGTTTGAGCTTGTCAATTAAGTCTCCCCTACTCTTGAATGTGAGACTAAGTTTGACTTCTAACCCTCCAGAGGGTATCGGTGATTTTTATACTAAGTAACTTTCTATTTACCTGAGAAATGCGTATCCTTGTCTCACAAAACACGTAAAACAACTTATTTGACAAATTCACCTCAAATTAGCCCTATTTAAGCCAATTACATACAAATTAATGTGTGGGATTTTGGAATGGCGGCCACAATTTTGGTAGTACGAAAATATGGGGATTTTTTCCAAAAATCCCCAAATTTCGTACCATATAAATATGTCTTGTAAGGTATACCGATTTTTCTAAAATTTTGATAGGAATGTGCTAGTGACTTTTTGAAGGGTGCAAAATAACCGCAACTAGCACATTTATATATGAGTTATGAACAACAAAACACCCTAAAATGCTTCCCTTTGAAGTTATGGGAGAAAATGTGATTTTTTGGCTTTGCAGATGAAAAATCACATTTTCTCCCATAACTTCAAGGGAAGCATTTTAGGGTGTTTTGTTGTTCATAACTCATATATAAATGTGCTAGTTGCGGTTATTTTGCACCCTTCAAAAAGTCACTAGCACATTCCTATCAAAATTTTAGAAAAATCGGTATATATTAAAAACGAAAAATGTGCCTAAATTTGTTGTTTGGCTTTGAGGTCCAATAGATCTGAAGGGGAATGAGTAAAAACATTTTTGAGGGCATCAAAAACTGCGCCAGAATTCAGAGAACAATTTGATGTCAAGCATCAAATCAATCCGATCTTCCCTGACTGACTTTTTGTTAAAATAAGCCTGAAAAGGACAATTTTAGCTTTTTGACTTTAAAAATTCATAACACACCAGCCTTTTTAGATACGATATCAAGATTTTACACACACATTGAAATAGATGTGAATAAAGGGCGAGCAAAATTTCAACCCGTTACCGCAAGAAATGATTAACTTATAGCGTCTCAACCACAAAATAATTTTTTCCGAAAATTGCACTCTTAACCAGGAAATGGTCGATTACAAAAATGGGAATTCTCAAAATGATTTTTTTTTGTGTGGAAACGGTGCGCTAGAAGGTCACTGAACTGCCTATGAGGTCATTAGGTCTGGACAGATTTGGGGTTTGCCCCCTTAATCATTACTAATAATTAACTAATTAATGATTAACTTATTACTAATTATAGGAATCTTCTGACACGTGTCAGTGTAAGAAATGTGTCCCAGTACCTGAACTTGATCCCGTAGCTCTTCAACAAATAACTGATAGTATCGAGAATATTGGGCTGAACAGTGATATACCGGACTCTTGGAAATTGGTGAGATATTGTTTTCTTTCTTGGTTCAAATTTAATTGATAAATTGGCAGGATATCATTATTAGCTAACTTGGTCTCCAATTGTGATGCGTTTTTCGTACCTAATGTTTACAGAGGATGTTGGGCATTTGATCTACGGATTTATCATGGGCCAATCGTACATTTTCTGTCGTGAAATTATGAGAAGCTTGAATAAAATTGATAGAAATATTCTAGCAACTCCCAAAATACAGCTCACTAACAACTATAAGAGGGGTTCTTGAAACATATTTATAAACATATTTATAAATGATACATCAAGTGATGTCACATTTTAACACCTTTTAACACATTTTAACACATTTTCACTAACAACTCTTTTACTCCCAGATAGATGGTAAATTCTCAACCATAATGGCGTTCAAGTTAACCCACCTTGCCCTAAAGTTTCAGTGTGCCAAGAAAATGAAACTAGACTGCGGTTTTGTGCACCTAATGCACTCCCAGGGCCGCTCCAAAAAGGTATGATGACGTCACGTGAGTTGACATCACGTGACGTCACAACTCACGTGACGCCACGTGTTTCACGCTCACTCACTCACATTTCCCCGCAGTTAGAGGGAAAGTTCTCCTCGGTAAACGCGTTTTCTCGGACCCACCTGACTTCCTCAATCCAAGTAACGGAGCTGGATATGCCGTTAGATTGTGGATATTTGTGGTTTATGTGGTCGGATAGTAATAACGAAGGTTACAATAGACAGGTGGGATGAAGCATTGAACGCAGGGTGTCCAGGTACATCTTATTTTAAACACCACCTGGACACCCTGAGTGAACGTGTGTCACTGTTTTTACAAAGCATGAAAAATGGGATTTCTGCGAGTTTGAAATAAAGCGTTTTGACTTTTGAGTGAAATCAACTCCGGTTTGTGTCAAAGCATCACGGATTTAATTGAAACGAGATTGGTTCAAAGCACAACAAATGTTATGTCCGCTGGTTTTATTACAAAGTAAGCATTATTACAAAGTAACCATTATTAAAAAGTAAGCATTATTACAAAGAGCAAAGTAAGCATTATTACAAAGTAACCATTATTACAAAGTAAACATTGACGATCAGTTATTTAATATATATAATCACGGAACTTCAGCCAACAAAGCGGCAAAGCCCCCCTTGTTTATTCTGAGAGTTAGTGTCTGCTGAAGTGTGAGCTGAAATGTCAGTTTTGTGTTCTGCACACTAAAAATGTGGGATTGAATGTTCGGTGTATGACTTGTGAGTAATGGGTATGTAGATTGTGGGATTAGGACCTGAAATGTGTGTTATCAGTGATCTCAGCATTTGAATGTGAGCTTTTGTGATCACAATCACTCTTCAGCGCCAAAACGAAATTGTGGTCGATGAATATTGGTTCTAACAGTTTTATGGGATTGTGTATCCGGTCTTCTATCGGTTGAAATTTCGCTTTCTTCGAAGTTCGAAGGACAATGCACAAAGCACAGTGCACATGGCACAATTTAATGCACTTGATCTATTCCTCTGTTTATCGAATTTAAAAAACTCATTTGTATAAGGTCTTTATCATCACATCGTTTTTATCATCTTCCCTAAAGCACCCAAATATTTCTAAGTTATTTAGTTTTTGATGCGTTAACCTCTACAAACCTATATTTTAAAAACCGTATTTTAAATTTTTTTTATTATCTTCAGGATTTTTACCAACTGTTGGTGAATAACTGCACTCCTGAATGTAACGAAACAAGGACCATTCACTTTGAAAAGGTAGAGAGTTTATCATTGATTTCAAATTGTGGATATCTCTCGATATTCGTGAAATATCATTATTTTTACATAACAGTATTTCTAATATCAATCAATTTATCATCCAAAAGTTTGTACTAAGAGTTCTAGCATCAAAAATAGCAATAAATGTAGCATATTACTGGTACTAGAATTAAGTACCAAAAACCACCCCTGGGTGTATAATGTATATTGTATACTTATAGTTTATACTGTATGCATATTGCATACTGTACTGCATGCAAACATCTCCCTTCAGATCATTTTAATAATCCTGTTTTTACTTCTAGAGCCCCCACTTGTTAATTATAGTTAATTATAGTTAATTATAATTAATTATAGTTAATCATACTTAATTATAGTTAATTATAATTAATTATAGTTAATCATACTTAATTATAGTTAATTATAATTAATTATAGTTATCCAGAGTCCCACTCAGTATTTATCTCACTACATTCTCTCTTCAGGTAAGAGCGTTCAGGCTCGAACCAGAGCTCTCGGAATCAGGAGCGTACGTTACTATTGACGGTGAGCTGGTACCGTACGAACCGCTACACGCCTGTATATTCAAGGGCATCGCTCGAGTCATCTGCTTACCATTAATGGATTAAGAGACTTTGTTGTGGAAGGTCACGTGGTATGGTGTGTGACGTCACGTGGTATGGTGTGGGAGGTCACGTGGTATGGTGTGTGACGTCACGTGGTATGGTGTGTGACGTCACGTGGTATGGTGTGTGACGTCACGTGATATGGTTTGTGACGTCACGTGGTATGGTGTGTGACGTCACGTGGTATGGTGTGTGACGTCACGTGGTATGGTGTGTGACGTCACGTGATATTGAGTGTGTTTCACTTGATTCTGATAGTGATATATTATTGCGTTTATACGTTGTTCATTTGTATTATAATATGTAGTTAAATGTGAACACTTTGTTTATAAAAGCTTTTTACAACAGTTTGGTAGCTCAGCTTTTAATTTATAAGTTCGTACTACGAACTTCGTAGTCGCATAATACTATTAACAGCATTATTGATAAAGAGAAATTGATTTTTTAGGGTTTCCAAATATTGGAAAAATTGTACTGTTTTGGAGTAATATGATGATAATATGTACATAACGATTTTTTTGTAATTGATTAATTAATCAAAAATTTAATAGTCTTGAATAAAAAGTAACGAGATAAAATTCATTGTGACAGAAAGTTAATTATCAAAATTTGACATCGCCAAGACTAGTTTTATTTAATGATATTACTATAATTACTAATATTCAATAATGGTAATCTTTCTTCGCTCTTATGAGTGGGTCGATCATATAGTTTGACAGTTGGTGACGAAGTGAGAGTCTCCAGTCAGTGTTTCAAAACAATTAGTTGTCGACGCGGTTTCAATAACGTTACAATAACTTACATAGTATATAGCTGCAATTTACAATGTTAAAATAAACTATCAATACCAGATCTCACTTCGTCACCATCTGTCAAACTAAATATTCAATAATATTACTATTATTAATATTCACAGTCCTTTCAAATTCAACAGATTTTGAATTCGAGAACTGATTCTCCATTATATTTAAGTCTGTATAATATCATTTTCAGTGATTAACTTTCGAGTACTCTGCATTTATAAAAAGATACAAAAAGGACTGTGAATGGCACTACATTTTTCAAGAATTTCTATTTTCTAGAATTTCAACCCCCTAGATTTTCCTACGCTTTCTGGATTACGACTTTATTTGTTGTTTCACTTAATAGTAATACGAATATGTGGTATAATTTGTAACTGTAGTGTGATTGTTAAGAAGATTATATTCGTACGCATTGTCATATTTTGTCAGATCAAGAGTTTCAATTTTTTCCCGATCCATGACTCGTGCCGAAGGCACAAAAGAGTCAAGGACAAGGGTTAGCGAACGAGGTTTTTTTTTGTATATGGTAGCTTTGCGACCGTACCTGCGAGCGTGCGCGCGACCGTACCTGCCTGCACACACTGTAATCGCCCACGTGACTGCCTGCGCAAAGTTATTTTGCGGAATAATTCGAATTAAATAATTGTTGGCGCGCGGCGCTGAACTGACCAAGTACATGGTTAATTTCACCATGTACATATCCCACTAGGCACTAATTGATAGCATACTATTATTATTTTGAGTTACTTATACTATTTTGCACAGATCCGTGTCGGGTGTCAGGTTGCATAAACAATAAGCATATGGTTTTTAAAAATATACACGATTTTCAAATTAAATATGGAATTATATTAACTTGGTGGCGCTCGGCCTGTCACTTCGCCATATCTGCATACTTATAAACAGTAAAAACTGGGGTCCCCAGGTTGTATAGAATATGATAAATTACGCCATCACAGATCGGGAAATTGAGCGGCCATGCACAAAAAAAAGCGGCCGCATTTCTTGTTAATCAAGAGTTTTCAATAATTAATTAATTTTTATAACACATGTAATTGTAAACAATAAACATTCTGGTTAAATTAATTTTTGACTTCACAGTAATAGAACTAAAATCATCTGTTATAAAACAAGAAATGCGGCCACTTTTCTTTTGTGGATGGGCGCCACTATAGCTTCAGAGGTGGACGAGGTTGTCATGGTAAATGTTGTTCAGATCGCTGAGATGGGCGCCTATGTCAAACTACTTGAATACGATGGACAGAAAGGTATGATCCTCATGTCTGAGTTCTCGAGAAAGTGTATCAGGTCTATAAACAAGTTGGTGAGAGTGGAAAGGAACGAGTGTGTCCTGGTGACCAGAGTGGACCAAGATAAGGGGTATATTGATCTCTCCAAGAGACGAGTCGTACAGGAGGATATTAAGAGGTGCGAAGAAAAGTACTCTAAAGCTAAAACAGTTAACCAGATCTTGAGACATGTTGGGGAGCTGCTAGATTATGAGGATGATAAAATGTTAGAGGAGCTGTACAAGAGGACCGCGTGGTGCTTTGACAAGAAATACCCCACAAGTGGAAGATCACACGAGATGTTCAAAGAAGCCGCTCAAAAACCTGAGGTCCTCGATGAGCTGGATATTGATTTGATTTGAAACTTTTACAAAATAGCAAATATACAAATGTACAGCAAATCGAACAAACATATAAAATGGGCCGAAATGTATAAATGCTATAAAGCGTGGGTCAGTGAAACAAGTACAGAGGACAACTTTTAAAACACGAGTAACAAAATTATGAAATATGAAGTGTGAAACAAATTATGAAATATGAAGTGTGAAACAAATTATGAAATATGAAGTATGAAACAATCAAGAAATAGCTCGTATATAAATTTTAAAATTGTCTCTCAAATACAGATAACGTCCGAAAACTATTAAGATACACAATACTCATTCAAATACTGATCAGTGTCTGAGAGACATGAATTGCTTCATGGTGGTTTCTTAACACGGCTACAGACTTTCCCGTACCGGATATAGTGGTCGAGATGAGTCTGTTCAGCCCTCTTCTTCTTCAGGTAGGTAACCAGATGTTTCCTCGTTGCTCGTTCTTCGCTAGATCTATCTGGAGTCTGGACAGATCCATACATTTTTGTGGGTCTCAACTAGCCTCAGTCTCCCTGTTTTCATCAGAATCTGTTGAGCCGCTGTTGAGCTTGGGACAGTGATCTTTACTGGTCGGATAGTCGTACTACCTGGCCTCTTCCTGCCGACTCTAGTCGCTTCGAAGTGAGGTTTCTCCCCAATCTCCTCCAGAACTGCGGTTACTAGCGCTGGAAGCTGTTCTCCCTCTTCTTCTTTCAACCCAAACACAATCAGGTTCTTGCTCCTGTCCTCCTCTGCAGCCACACTCTTCATCACCTTCTTCAGGATGTTACTGTTGCAGACCGTACCAATTGCACTGTTCTGTTGTACAGCTGCACTGTAGCTCTTAATCCCTGACTCCACCGTTGTTTGCACTGTCTCCTTAACCGACGTCTTAAACAACTGTAGTTCTTTGTCCTTCTGCACAAGCAGCTGGCCCTGCAGCCTGATCAACGTATCCTTGTCTTCTAACGCTTCCGTCTTCAAGAAATATATGATCTCCTCCATTTTAGCCATCTGGCATTCATGCCGTTGAACGAGGTCTATTGCTCCCACAAGCCGAAGTGCCAGATGCTTTTTATAGACAGTTGGAGCCATAAATATTTCTCTGTCCATATCTCCACTATTGTTGCATGGAGATCACTTAGTAACAGAGTGGCTTTCATTGATATAAGACTCACAGAACCCAACGGATCTCATCGTATGATCAGGATCGTTAACGTATACGGACCAACCAAGAAGATTGTCGATGATGACATCAGTAAGGTCACAGGTAACTCCCCATTGTTACAATCATATTTCAATGATCTGAAAACTGCTATCAATATCCTAGCTCGATACGATTTGTTTGTTGCTGGAGATTTTAACGCCCGACTTGGGAGATGCAGTAGGAAAGAGTATGATGCTGGCCTTAATAATCATATTGGTCAGTTCGGTAATGGTCTGAGAAACAGGAACGGTGAGTTTCTACTGGACTTTATTGTTGATAATGGCCTGTTTGCGTGCAATACTGCGTTCCAACACAGAGCGAAGTATATTACCACCTGGAAGGCTAGATGTGTTCTCAAGGGCAGACCCAAGGGTTCAAAAGACACTGTGAACTATTTTAAACAAATTGATTATATTTTATGTCGTACTAACTTTAAAGTCTGTTTAACAGACTCCCGCTCTTTTTGCGGTGATTTTGTGAAATCTGACCATAAACCTGTGGTCGCACGTTTTAAACTTGGTTGTGAATACATTGTACATAAGCGGCCCAGGTCTGACAAAATAAGGTTTGATGTCAATCGCCTTAATGATTCTGATATTAAGTCTAAATTTTTTGATTCTTTTAAAAGTAATATTGATTGTAGAGTTTTAACTAATAATGCTATTTCTGAAAATTCTGATATTTTTGGTATATTGAGTAAATGTGCCGTCCAGGTGGTTGGTAAAGTGCCCCCGGGGAAGCCTCATCAGTACAGCGACGATCCAACTGTCGTTAAACTTTCAGCAGAGAGAAAGTCCCTTCAGCAAGAATGTAGCCTCACAGGGATAAGTGACAGGAGTGACCTCAGAAAAAGAATCAACCATCTCAAACGTACCATCAAAAAGAGGTTGAAATCTATCAACGAGGCCACTGCTAACGCCCTAGTAGATGTCATCAACAACACCGACAGCTGCAGAAGCATGTTTGAAGCGAATAGAACTTTGGCCCAGTGTAGGATGAAGAAAGATGGAGTGACTGTCCACGATGCAGACGGCAACACCTTAGGATCTGACTCATTAAAAGCAGAAGCTATTAAAGAATACTTTAATAATGAGTTCAATGACAAAGATGAACCCCACCTCCCAGCATTCATAGACCCTCCTGGAAGCCTCCTCTGTCTCATAACACCTGAAGAAGTTGGCCGTGCTGTTATGAAGCTGAAATCCGGTAGAGCGTGTGGCCCTGACGGTATACCTAATGAGCTAATGAAAGCTGCTGGATATCCCCTCCACTATGAGTTGGCTAGGATCTACAATCTCTCCTTTGAGACCAACACATACATCCCAGCTATTGGAGAAGGTATCCTGACACCCCTTCAGAAGCCAGGAAAACCCCGAGGTCCGGTAAAGTCTATCCGGCCCCTCACATTGCTAAATGGAACTCGAAAAGTCCTATCCCTCGTAGCCTTGAACAGAATCAATTACCACGTTGATATGTACACTGGACCTTGGCAGGCGGCATACAAGCAGGGTCGCAGTTGTGCTGACCTGGTTTGGTCTCAGAGAATGTTGACATCAGTGGTTACCAGGCGTGAGTTTGAATATAGTAAAATCAACATTGACATGACCGCTGCGTTTAATACCATCCGCAGACAGACCATCATCAACCTCCTCATTGATGCAGGATGCTCTAGAGATGACATTCGCCTGGTTCAGTACCTCCTCTCAAATACAAAGCTCAAGGTGACGGTCAACAGAGCTGAGTCTGGTGAATTCGTGATTAATATTGGAGCTTATCAGGGAGACAGTCTGGCAGGTAAAGTATTTACATTGACCCTTGCCGGTGCCCTGAATCACATCAGAGCCGTGATCAGTGTCACAATTCCTAGACCAAACCCCCCAGTCTCTGATAGAGGCCTCCCGTTAGAGTCCGCCTATGCTGACGATGCTGAGCTTCTGAGTGAAGATGGTCAGAGCCTGGTGAAGATACTAGAGATTGCCAGTGACATACTAAAGGACTGGAGCCTCTTTGTTAACGAATCAAAGACGGTGTTTACAAGAGTGTATTTGGCAGAGAAAGATGCTTTGGATGCCCATGGCAATAAAATCAGAGGAAATGAAGAGTGGCGAGAGTCAGTGCTATTAGGATCAAAGCTCTGTTCAGAAAGAGATATTGCCAACAGACGCAACAAAGCCAATGTTGCCTTCTACACCTACAAGAAAGTCTGGTTGAATAGTTCTGTTCAGATCAGTGAGAGTAGAAAGCTGAAGTTGTACGAAGCTCTTGTCACTTCAGTGTTGTTGTATAACTGTAGCAGCTGGGCTGCTCCTGAAACCGTAATGGCATCTGTCGACGTTCTTCAAAGGAAGCATCTGAGACAGATAATCAACACCTATTGGCCTACGGTTATCAGTAACGAGAACTTATATAAGAGATGTAATGTCAGTCCCCTTACTGAAAGGATCAAGAAAGCACGATGGAAGATGCTTGGGCACGTTCTCAGAAGCGGTGATGACACTCCCGCTTTCTTATCTTTTAGATTTGCATGTTTAGGATGTGTTGACTACAAAGGGAGGAGGGGCAGACCTCGTTCAAATTTATTTGATTTATTATTAAAAGACATTATGACGAAGAATATTATTGTGATTGTAAATAAAAGATTTAGTTTAAGTAATTTCAATGATTTAGTGTACAAAGCTCATGATAGACGCTTATGGAGAAGCTATGGGTGAGTCGAGACTACTCGGCCACTCGATTTTATGATTTATTTCCTATTATCTTGTGTTTGCTGTATATAGTTGATTAATAATATCTCCACAAATATCTCTGTCGTCTATTTTCAGTTCTTTTCCCAGCGTAATGAACCACTTAGTAACACTGTCCTTCAATTTTGTCTGTTCATCATACTCGAATCCTTGAATTTGGTCCAGAGATTGGGTCACCTTACGATCATCCTCCATAGTGTACTTGTATAGGAATGTACAAGTACACACGCAAAGGCTAACTACGCGGTAGCAGCAAACTGAACTTATCGCAATTTACAAAAGATAAGAGAGCTCGATAATTGCAACGTAAGCTACACTGACTACACACCAAAGAGGTTCTTTTGAAAAACATCAAGAGGAGACTCACGTCTCACTCCGCAAGCAGTCAAAGTAAGAGCTGACGTAGAGGTGCTATGTTACGCGTACGAAGGTATTGATGCAGTGAAAGCAGCTCTCAGAGTAGGTTTAGAACTAGCTACAGAAGAAGTCCCCTTGAAAATTAACCTTATTGCTCCACCCATTTACGTCATCTCTGTAACGTTATTCAACGAAGAGAAAGGAGTGGAGGCAGTAAGAGCGTCTATGGCTGCCATCAAGAACTCAATAGAGGCTTCCAAAGGTACAGCTTCAACGTGAAGCTCGATCCTAAGGTAGTAACAGAAAGAGAGGATCAGAAACTGCAGGAGGAAATGGAACAGAGGGAGAGGAACATGATGGAGAAAGATGGAGATGAAGACAGTGAAGATGAGGAAAGTGATGATGACGAGGAGGAGGAGAGTGACGAGAATGAAGTCTAATTTTGTGTTGAAACTTCTCCTCTGTTTCTTTTAATTTTTGAATTGTTTGGGTATCTTATGTTCGACATGTGCCATGTACATGATATTCGTGTATCATTCTGATATTCTGTTTCCCATCTACGACTCAAATTCTCGTCTCATTAAATATCTAGTACGACATATCATCTCGTCACCCAAAATAACAATATTTTCAAAAGTACGTGCTGTAAATATTTGCTCATGTTCACGATCAAAATAGCTAACCCGAACATTTCCATGATATAGCCAGTGCACTCAAGCGGTGCAAAATGACCTGCAGTCTAAGAATCTAGAAGAAATCCCAGAGGATGAAAATGAACTGATAGCCTCGTCCAGTAACTCAGTAGCTGCTACTAAACCCTGGTAACTGGTAACCCCGGTAACTCTGGTAACTGGTAATGAAAACTAACGTGGTAGTAGCAGGCTCTGTGACAGTACTGGTTCTGGTCCCACTTGCTCTGCTCTGGTACCGTGGGAGGAGACAGGGGACAGGAGGGAGGAGGGATCGTATGGATGAGAGGCAACATGTCAAGAAGAACAAAGAGAAGATAGTTAAAACCACTACTATCGACAAGGAGGATGTTAGGTCAGTTTATTAGCGCGTTTATTACTTTACAGTGCATTTATTTCTTGTAAAACAGAATTCAAGGGAATTTATAACAGTAACCCTGGCAATATTATTTATTTATTTATTTAAGGCTAAAATTGTTTTCGCAATTGCTAGGTTTGCACGTTCTTACCCCTGCTACCTCCTGTTCATTGCATTCATTCATTCAATTGGCTTGTTTATCGTGTATTATGTAGTTTTGCTTGTGTATCAATTAACTGATACGTATTCAGGTTTGTGATAGGTAAGAGAGGCTGTGTTATTAAAGACATTGAGAGTCGATGCGGAGTCAAGATCTCCTTCCCAGAAGACAGTAACCCTGGTAACAGTAACCCTGGTAACTGTAACCCTGGTAACAGTAACCCTGGTAACTGTAACCCTGGTAAAACGTCTCAGATAGTTGAAGTTAAGGGAGACTGTAACGATGATATAACAGAGGCAATAGTAAGTTATTACCAATTATAAATACTTTGCCCAACATTACGCTTTATTACACGTCTTATATGTATCGTTGTTGTGTTCAAGACTTTTGATCTTTTCCGACCAGACGATGTTTCTTTCTGGAGTCTGGTGAAGACTTTAGAGAAGGAGAGCAGTAGATGGAACTTAACATGGTTCACTGATGCATCAAGTCTTTATTATGCACTTTCTATTAGAGCTTATAAATATCAATTTGACATAAAGAAATATATTTTATGTGAGGTAGACTTACATAAGTTCTTACATTGTATATAATATTACATAGCTTAAATAGTAATCTGCACAGTAACTTCGATAGCTTAGTTAAATCGTGAGTTAATTATTGTAAAAAGCCACCATTTGCCGAAACACCCGCCAATTCTGTTTCATTGTTATGTGTTCTTTGCTATACAGTTGTTTAGAATCGTGACGTTGCTTTGAAACTAGCTATTTATAAACACTTGCACTCTGTTTATAAACACTTTTTATAAATACTGGCTGTCTATAAAGACAACTGGTATCTAGAAGTCCAGTGAGTGTAATTTTTAGACAATCGACTTTAAAGATTCAATTAACTAAGCCAGCTAATTAATATTACGTATAATATTAACAGATATTATTATATTTCTAAATGTTTTTTTCTTCGTTTTCGATCGATCATATGGATGTTCATAATATTTTTTATTACCTGAATGTTAATTTCAGGATATGGTCCAGGAGGCGTGCCAGCTAAAACCCAAGATACTAACAGAAAACATAGAAATCAGAGCTGAGTACTGCGGTAAGATAATAGGAAAAGGAGGAGAGAATTTGAAGGACATCAGGGAACACAGTGGCACAAGGATACTAATTAGTAAGGGAAAACGAGGAGATACGACTCTGCTCAATTGAAGGTAAATAAAACCATCATAAAAAATGGTAAGTAATAATAACACTCAAAACACATTTAAGTTATCACAAGCTTTCAAACTCTTCTTGAAACATATTTAATCGAATTAAATTTCTCAAAAACTATATATAGTAGTAACAGTGTACCCTGTAAAAGATGTAATGTCCGATATAAAAAACGTCCTGCAAGAAGATAAAATCAAAAAATGTTGGCACTAGAAAATTTATCTAGATCAAATTAGCAATATTTTTCATCAAGTTCAGTCTGGTACTAGTGTCTTAACATTACTACTGTCTGCTTCCCTTATCACATGGGGCCTGGTAAGTCTAGTTAGGGGTATTGTCTTCTCCTTGACGCCTAAAGAAAGCTACAAAATAGTTCCTAAAGTCATATCTTATCCGCTCATTTCTGGAGACTATGATAAGAGGAGACACAACAGCATTAAGAAGAGGAAGCAGAGTTTGGAGAGCTCCGAACATGCTGTAGACCCAGTCTGCAGGTTCAGTGCAGGTTGTCATGAGGACTTGAATCATGATAGAAGAAATGGAGAGTGGAGTGTTACAGAGGAATGTTAAGACTGCTAGCTGGAAAACTGTGGTGTTAATGTGACCCCAGTCTATTATAACAGTCTCCGTGTCTTCTCTAGCTCTGGCACGCTGCCAGCCTGTTATCACCTGTACTACCATACTAACCAAGATAGACAGGACAGGAATCAGGTACTGCACAGTCAGCAGCGTGCACTCTATACCTGCACTAGGCTCCGTTTTAAACCCAGTAGAGGTCCATACAGACCAGGAGATGGTCTGGCCGGGGAACGTGGCTACTGATGCTAGAGAAACTAGCATGAACCAGAAGGAGATGAGGTCGCTGAAGGTCTTTGTGGTGGTTAAGTAAGCTAGGATGTAGATATCGTATGCTGTCAGGGACAGAAGCAGCAGGATGTAGGTTGTGGAAACTATCTGCATGATAGAGACTTGGGGCCGATAGAAGGGGTTGTAGATAGTGATGCTCCTCAAGACTGCAAGGAGAGTGTTGAAGTAGATGGAGCAGGAGTAGGCGAGTATACCCACTACTCTATACCCGATATAACACCACCACATCACACCGTCATACCTCTGTGAGTCACTACTCCAGAGTAAGGACCCTCCTGCAAACACAATGTTCCCAGCAGCTGTCAGGATATCACAGATGGAGATCAGCACAAAGATAAGGAAGGTTAGTCGGGACCTGTTTTTGTAGTAGTGAGCTATCACCAGACTGTTGAACAGTATTATCAGGGCACTTAAAGCTAGGTTCAGGGGAGCAATATTCTTGTAGGCCAGCAAGAAATACTTTCTAGCGTCCGGAATTTCTGTGGGTCCTGGGAATGTCTCTTTAACTGACATGTTAGATATGGTAACCAGGGTTACGGTCACCAAGGTTACAGTTACCAAGGTTACAAAGTAACAATTACCAGGGTTACAGGGTAAGATATTGTCTCTGCGAGGAAGGATCTAGAAAATTAGTGGGTGCAACTGAATGAAATCTCGACAACTAGAATAATGATTTATCTCTAGACCAAGCAGAGGAGTTCTATTAAAATTTTTAACCATTACTCAAAATCAGAATTGCAGACCCTTTTGACCTCTTAATTCCTATGTTGTCATTATTTTGGCAAATTTTCAGAAAGGAGCAGTTCACTCTTCACGCCCGCCTTGCCTTCTAAGCGCCTTAAATGTGCCAAGAAATGTTCTTCCTTAATGCCTATAATAAATTAAGTAGATTTCTGATACTCAAAACAGTTTTTTGTAAGTGGATCCAGATAAGTTATGTAATACAATTTTATCATCTGAAGAGCAATCCATTTAATTAATATTGCAGAACCAGAAATTGAGAAGGAAAGATATAATAGTTTTGTGAATCTCACTAACTGTTTTCAGGTACAAAAGAGGAGATAGAAGTAGCTAAACAGCTGATAGATAGCAACATACTAACTGAGATAGAGATAAGAAGAAAGAGAGAGCATAGACAGGTAATTAAGGTTAATGCTCGGTGCGTGTACTACAGGTCGCTCCTGAATAAAGCATGAAATAACCATAACACCACTATAAGTACACTTAGAGATTAATAGAATAATAATGTAATTGTAATTATTGAATTTCAGGAAGTGAAGAATTACCTGTCCGGCACTGTAAACGCTCTATAGCTATTATAGGTATAGCGAGCCCATGTAGTTATTGTAGCGCTACTATAGCGTCTTAGCGAGCCCCTGTCGATCTATTCCACTTCAAATAACACCCACGCGTTACTTTGATTTCCTAACCCTAGGCCCTATAACCAATAAATAGACTGAGAGTGAGATGGGCCATTTTATTGTTTCTCTTTGTGGATGGCCGCTCAATTTCCCGATCCGTGAATCTGATATGGCGTATTTTATCATATTCCATACAACCGGCCTGAGGGCTGAGGACCCATTCTTTACTGTTTATAATTATAGTACGCATGCGGATATGGCAGAGTATAAACAGGCCGCCCAGTTGATTCCATATTGAATTTTAAAATCGTGTATATTTCTATGTAACCATATATCAATATGTAACCTAATCATGCTAATATGCTAATTATTGTTCGAGCGCGAGCGTGCTAAATCACTCTACAGTCGAACTAATATGATGATTTACAATATATTGGTATGGTATTTTATTGAATAATTACTGTGTCATTACTTTTTGTGGCTAATCTTAAATTCACCACATTTTAAAACACAAGTACTAACTTAACTCGTTGAAAATCAATAAAATGTACGAAGAATTCTTAAGTTATTTATCATACCTCACACTGTCCATAAAATCTGACCTACAAAAAAAATTTCTAGAATGTGCTAGAAAGATCTAGAATCAAAA